GAGTCATGCAGACGCAATCGGGAGTTGGTTTTCTTTACAAGTTTCAATCAAATATCCTCATACAAAAATTACTTTCATACACTTTTTTTCTGAACTTCGCAGATTCTTTTTCGTATTCAGGACAAATAAAAGGAAGATCGAAATTTTATACTATCATTTTGAAGTTATGTCTGACGGTGTTCGAATATGGGGCCACCCAGAGCAGAATATGTAAACAAATATGAAATGTAATAAAATAAAGTAAATAAATAAGTAAATAAAAAAGTAAAAAAACAAAAAAATATTTTGTTTTTCTTATTGATATTTTATGTCCAAAAGTAGTTAGTTACAAGTTAGTTGACATGTAATGCAGAGGTATCCAGGTCTGACTTTTTTGCGGTCATCGCCCCACAAAAGTAGTTAGCTTTTTTCGAACAAAATACACAGTTAATAGTTAGCACTAGTGTTCGCGTAAACAGACTAAAGTTAGGTATAAGCTAACGTCACTCCCTGCAGGGTATGTATGTATGTATGACCTAGCCTTTTATTTTATTCTCTGGCCTCGCTTTAGCTTTTTTCTAGCCTCTTTTTATTTTTGAAATAACCTTTTTAATACAAACATGTATTGCATATATTTTATGTATATCAATTAGATGAATTGGATGACTATGAATATTGAAATAAAACGGTAATTATACCTATAATGAGCTAACAATGATTGAAAATAAAAGGCGAACACTTTTAATATACGAAAGGTCCAATTTAAACTAGTATAAAATTTGGGTTCTGAGTAAAAGTGAAATAAATTAAAAATTCTTTTAGTGAAAATCTGTTTCAAGAACTTTGCAAACCAGTTTTTAATTCTCTTGTTTTTTTTTTTTATTCAGCAACGATGAGGTTGCATTGCGCGATATAACTCCGCAGGGCCTGGTTTAACCGAGTATTTCTGCCATAAAAATCAGCTTCTCATAAAAATACAATCGCCGTTCGTAGTTGGTGTAAAACTGTAGGTCCCTCCACTTAGTGTAACAACATCAAGGCGCACGCTACAAATTGGAGGAGAAGCTCGGCCAAAACACTAACGTATGTGTAAGCCAGTGATGGAAAATCAAAATTTAAAATTGTGCCGATTTCCTCGAGAAAAATTTGCCTTAATGCAGGTCAGGGGCGCACCCAGGAATATATTTTATGGGGGTTTTATATTTCTGAAGATATATCACCGGAAAATACTGAAAATTTTCTTCAGATAATACGCTCTTTAAAATATATTTATGCAAGATTTATGTACAGTATGTAATAAATAAATAAACGTTTTAAAATTCATAAATTGCACTTTATTTACATAAGATTAACAGAACTCAAACACTTTTAACCGACTTTAAAAAAAGGGGAGGTTATCAATTCGCCGGAATACGTATCTTTGGACCACGTGAACCGATTTCAATAATCATTTTTTTGTAGAAAGATGGTACCTCAAGGTTCGTCCCGTAATTTGGTTTAGAGATCCGATGATTGGATCATGAAGAAATTAACGGTACCCCTAAATTTGAATATAAGAATTGAAGCCCGTTGTGTTCTTTGTTGTGTTCGATGCGCTCAACTTTCAAAAGTACCTAAGAAAAAATTTTAAATAAGACTCAGTAAAAATAAATTTATTGATTCCATGAATTTTTGCACTTTTATGTTCCTTTTTTCGATTTCAGGTTTCTGGCTTTCGATAGAGATGGTGATTTTTCACGATTTTTTTAATATTTCGAATACCGAAAAAGTTAACTGAACTCTCTAGAAAAACCAAAAATTCATATAAAACGACGGACGAGAAATGAAAAGATATTTTCTTCCACCAAAATTTCTTAAATCAGTTTGCAGCTCTCAAGAAAAAAATGCTCGTATATTCATTTCCTCATGAAAATTTACAGCAAAAGCAAAGCGCTTTTTCAAGCAACAGAAATTATAATAAATATTTCTTATAATTTCCTTGAGAGCTGGATTCTTAGCTTTAAGATACAGTTTGTATTTGAGGTTATTAGCTTTAGGGGGGGTTTGAACCCCAAAACCCACCCCTTGTGTGCGCTTATGATGCAGGTCAATGTGCCAATAAATTGAAAGTCGTCGATAGGTACCATTTGCTTTATAACATATATTTAGAGTACAGTTTGCATATAAGGAAAACAGAAATCTCACGGAAAACCTTTATTTAGTGCAACAACAAAGGAACACAACAACAAAAACATAAAAATCAAAGTTTAAAACTTTCTTTAAAAAAATTTCATTCCAATTTAAAACTTTGTTGTCAGAAATTTTAGAAACTTTCAGGTATGCAGTTTTATAGTCCATTAAATTTTAGTATTACAAAGTGCAAGTGCGGCGTTGATTTGTAATATTTTTTTTGCCTTTTTTATACATATTGGATGTACAAAAAATTCGAGTATTGAAGAAAGAATGAAATACCTTCAACGGAAAAAGTTCACAAAAATCAATGCGAATTGAATGGACTATAAAACTGCATACACAAAAGTATATGTAGTTTAAAAAAAAAAAATTCACATATCAACGAAAATCATCGCTCAATCATTTACCCTGGCCCTGTGGGGAAAATCTCTAGTTCTGAACTGGGGCGCTTCTAGTACATTTAGACCCAGTACTGGTTCGCGATAAATCTCTTTTGCATGCAAGCAACTGGCGAATTTAACATGGCGATGTCCTAGGAAGTGTCAATTGCCCCCCGCTGCACCCCTTTTTCGATAGTTCCGAACTAGTCCTAAATTCTATCGTTCGGAACCAGTTCTAAAATCGACAGACGAAAGAAAAAAGTATCATGATTTTTCAATCTTTTCGGTTCTTCCGTGTGCGATTTTACATTATTTTCAAAGAAACGTTTTTTCAATTTGAAATTAAATTTGTTTGAATGATTGTAAGAAATGTACGTTTACATACCTTGCTGTAGCTGACTTTGCATAGGTGCTCGCTGTTATTGGTTAGATTCCAGATGGCCCCAAGATGTTAATATGTTAACACAAAGCTTTGTTTTGTATTACCAAACTATGAAATAGCATCTGCGAAGCACAGAATAGAAGCGTATTTGAACGAAAAGGCCGCCGAACACATATCTATGTAAAGTAAACAAGCCCCCCCGCTGCATCCCTTATTCGATAGTTCCGAAATAGTTTTTCTATAGTTCCGAACTATTTCTAAATTCGTCACTTTGGATATAGATTTGTAGTGAAAAAAACTGAAAAAATTAGTTTCTTAAAAGTACCACTTTTCGCCGATTTTGGACTGGTGGGGATCTCGTTCCTATCGGACTAGTTCCTTTTTGGGGATAACGACCTAGTACGGAACTAGAAATTTGATTCACTAGTCCGCGGTTTCCCTGCAGGGGAATTAAGAATTGTAAAAATACAAAGCATCAGTCCCCTTTATTCCTAAAGTATTTGCAGATTACAATGTCCATCTTGCGCAAACTTACTTGTAACTAGCATTCAGGTGTTGTTGCGAATATTGGACAGTTCCATTTGCCTTGGTCTATAAATGAGAAGGCCTGATTCTTTGTGTATTTACATTTTGGAATTCAGGCTAAATTATAATTTAGTCAACTAGTTCATTTTTCGTATTAACATCAATGTTATTCGTATCGTCACAGCTTACTGCCTTTGGCACGAAAGCCGTAACGGCTTTTAAAATTTCAGCATCAAGGTTCTCTTTTTTAATCCTTGGCAAAATTTAACATTAAATTGCGAAGCATTTTTAAATGATAAATATTTCTGTACCAAAAAGAATATTCAAATTGGGTATGTGATTATTTACAGTGTATATTAAATGATATTTAATATTTGCTATAGAGATGAAATTTGTTTAAACAAAAATTTTAAGCGTATATGCAGAACCCGGAAGCCAGCTTCTTCTGCTTGCACATACGATCAAATGTAAAAAAAAAAAATATTTTTAATTCCGATCCGAAAGAAATATATATTAGTTGCATTGAGTTACGCAAAAATAGTGCCGAACATCAATCGATTGTGCTTAAGGTGCCGGATGCTTTCGAAAGGGCCGAAAAGGCACAATGCACACCAATTTTCCATCACTGGTGTAAGAGCCAATCTGTTATTATTATCAGCGCAAAGGAAATTAAAAAGACTAAGGAAATAAATAATAAAACAAAATTGCTAAAATCCCTTTTAAATGTTTGATGCTCTCTAAAAAATACATTTTAGAAAAATGTTGTAATGATTTTGAAATTACTACTGATATCTTAAAAATAATATCGTTACCATAATATAGAAAGGCCTTATCTCACATCGTAGCTGAAATACAAAAAGCCGTAACTAACTAAATTTTGTATTGCATAAAACGATGTGGGGACTTATACTTCGATGAAATGCATCATAATCAATCAAAAAGCGAATTTTAGATTTTTAGTTAGTTACGGCTTTTTGTATTTCAGCGACGATGTGAGATAGGGCCTTTCTACACTATTATAACGAATCGGCCCCTATCTGTGTTAAGGTATGAAAAGAGGATGAGGTAATTTTTTCTGAGATAGGTATAGCGTGTAATAAACAAATTTGTATGTGAAAAATGCAATGTGTAACAAAGACAAATAAATTGTTGTACACAAAAAATGGCCTTTTTTAACTTATTTTTTAGTAGCCTTTAGCTATTTCTGGCTCTTTTTTTAAGCTCATATAGTTTTTTTTTATTTACAACCTTCCGGCGGCACTGTTAACAGTTATGTGTGTATGAATATACATACATATGTACTTATATGCACATATATGTACATATATGAATTTTCACTTTTTGACACTAGTACATAGCTATACAAAAAATGCGTACAATTTTTCCACACATATGTATGTATGCAGATGCATCTCTAATGTTTTTTACGTACTGTGCATATGTATGTATATAGAAGTGCCATATGTACGTACTTATTTTATATGTACATTCATAAATACACATTCGTTCATTTACAGAGTTTGCTCTTTAAATCAATTTTAGTATTAATTAAAATGTCTCACATATTTCCGGTGACTTTCCTTAATGGCGGCGTGTGCTCTGTTCTTCCTGTCTTCTGCTTCTACGTTGGATTTAAATAGATCTCTCTGAGCGTTAAAGTATTTCTTGCATATATTCACAAACTAACCGTATACAATAAATTGGTATATGTACTATGCGTAAGGTGTATTCGCTTAAGCTATTTTATGTTCCTCCTTTATGTGTAGGAATTGACGCAAAAATACAGGTACATAAATATATATGTATGTATGTAATACATTTCTTTTTGATCTTTATTATATAAATATGCTGTCGAAAGATTTGTACGTTTATCTACTCTTAAAATTCCATAAAAGTTTTCGCACTCACAACACTTTGCGCGAGTTTCCACAAAACAGTTTACTCGTTTATTTAATTCGAAAATATTTTACGTTTTTCATTTGTAACATTTAGTGGGAAATTTTTATTGAAGGCGTACGGTTATATATGTACATATGTATGTATATGCATTTTGCATGTGCCTTTTACACTTAACAATGATGAACTTATTTGCAGTTCGCAACTTTTCATATTCGTACCTCGACAAATGTGTAACTAACTATTTATTCACGCCAATATTTAATGCTCGCGGTCTTCCATTCGTATTTTGAATTTTTCACATTTCCCTCAATTAGTGCTTGATTTGAAAATGTTCTCGATCGGGTTGGCACTCTCACCCTCTTCTGATGCCGGCACAGTTCCACAAATTTGCCTACAATGCTTTGGCTTCACCATTGAATTGTTCGCGTCCGAGCATTCGCTTTCACATCTATATGTTCCTAATTAGAGCAGCGTATTATCCAAACTGTGGGTTGATGTGAGCATGGACGTTGAATCCGGCATGCTATCCCGGCGGCTATATACACTGCTTTGTTCCTGTAGCAAACGCCCTCCATTTATGCTCAAGAGTGTACAGATCAGTAGTAGCGCTCACGCCCGCTATACGCCTGCGCCTGCAGCGCGGATCCGTCGTCCGATCTCATCTGTGCTTCCGCACCGCATGGCTCTTCCATATGGACATACATATGTACATATGCACACATTGGAAGCAAGCGCTCAAATTCACTCAGCAGCGAGTCGCACTCATCAATTACACTCAATTTTCATAAGTACATTTGCACAGTGAAATTTCTGAAATAAAAAGAAATAAACTATCCCCCTGCTCTGCTAAAATGCATGCACATATGTTTGTCGAAACACATATGCATATGTAATACATACCCTGCAGGAAATGAATCTAACTATAAGTTAACTTTAAGTTGATTAGGAAGGAGCAAAAATTCACTTATTATCTGTATATTTCCTTTGACGAAAGCTAACTATATTTCTATGGCGATGGCCGCGAAATAGTGAAGGGTGGTTACCTCTGCATTAGATGTAGTCAAGGGTGGTTACCTCTGCATTTGATGTAACTAACTTGTAATTAACTACTTTTGGACATAAAATATCAACAGGAAAAAGAAAATATTTTTTTATTTTTTTTATTTACTTTATTTATTTTATTACATTTCATATTTGCTTTCATATTCTGCTGCAGACATAACTTCTAAATGATAATTCGATCTTCCTTTTATTTGTCCTCAATTCGAAAAAGTATTTGCGAAGTGCAGGTTATTTAAATAGAAACGCGTTTAAAGAAAACAATCTCCTTCATTACTCCTGCATTACTTGTCAACTAGTTTCAAGTTAGCTTTTTGTAGCTAACTACAAGTTATATATTTTATAGAAATCCCGCAAAAAAGCTAACTTCACATGGGCTATTTTTTATCAATTGATAATTTTTTTCTGCAGGGTATGTACTATGTGTGCATGTGTACGTATTTTAAACAAATTTTTGTTTTACTTCATTCCGTGTAGCCGCACTTCACGCATCTCTGTATGTACATATGTATGCATATATTTTTTGTTGTTTTTTGACTAAAAAGTTACAATCTCACACATGTGTTGCAAGTCTGTTTTTAGTCTATTGGCCTGTCATTGTTTCAGTCTGCCGGTCTGCCACTCCATCTCTCTATCTGTTTGACAGTTCCATTCTCTGTTTATTTGTAGGTAGATTTTGCGCGTACATATTCGCGGACCATTGAATTGAGGCTCAGCGTCCTCAGTCCACACATAAAAATATGGCATCGCGCGACGTTTGGGAGATTGCTAAAACAGTAGTAGCCCCACCAGCGACAACAGATGCAACACCATCAGCAGATAATACGATTATAAAAACGCTGTTTACTAAAAAAAATCACATTTGCCATAATATGTGGCCATACATACATACGCACTCACCTAAAAACATATCTAATAAATAGATAGTATATAATACATATGTATGTACATATGTTTATTATGATGCCTCATGTTTTCTTAGTGGAAAAGCCATATTAAAGTCTCAACTCAAGGCCTACGACCTGACCGTATGCTATCGATGAATAAGGAAATTACCTACTTCTGCTGGTTTCTTTTCATATTTTCTGTTCAGGATAAATAGCGAGTAGTAGTTTTAAAACGGCACGCATAAGTGCTAATTCGAGTTGTTAAACTCGCCACTTCAACCAGCCAACCAAGCAACCAATGTCTCAACTAAACTATGTTCAAACGTCAAACATATATGTAGCCCCTTATTGTGAGTTTCCCCTGATTTCCAAGGAAATGAGTCTCCGGAAGAACTGAAAGAGTCTCACCCCTTGTCTCCATGAAAGACTCATCAGGAATCCTGAGTGAACCCACATATTTGGTATTTATAAAGACCTTTAGCAACTTTACTGTTTACAATGGGTATAATTTTTATCGAGTTATTAAATAACTTTTCCAACGTGGTTGAAACAAAAAAACGTTTACCACCATTGATTTCAAGACTACGACGACTCCACAAAAAACAAATTTTGCTTTCCTTACGACTATACTCACATATACAAAAGGAATTGTACTACAATGCCAAAATTCGCCATATGACCACTTTTCTATTCCAGTTTTTCGGTGCTATATATATGGGAAATGACATACGAGATGAATAGACAAACTAGCATTATAGTGGGGAACCAGACTAATGCTACTTTAACTAATGACTATTATCGAACTGCACTGAACATACCAGATAAGAGAGGTCGTCAAAACCAAGAAAAGTTCGAAAAGCGAATATAGTTTTAGTTAATTAATATGTAAACACTGTACGCGTGAATTTAATGTTAAATAAACTTGTACATAATAATCAGAGCTGGGCAATTTATGATTACGAATACATTTTAATTACGATTGCTTAATTGTAATCCTTAAATTATATACGATTACGATTATTTTAATTGGAATCATAAATGTTACCTTTAAAAATGTTATAATTGTAGGCTTAAAAATTTAAGGACTAAGATAAATATAATCGTAATCATGAAATACATGATTACGAATACTGTAATTCTAATCTTAAAAATTTTAAGAATACAATTACAGTAATTGTAATCATTACGATTACGAACATTTTAATTGTAATGCTAAAAATATTGTGATTACAATTAGTCTGTTCCTTTGAACTTCGGACTAAAGCCTGTGGAACTGTCAAACTACAATTTTACTCTCTCAAATGAGAGTAAAAGGAGAACAGATGCAGAAGTGCATAGGAACGCAAAAAGCACTATTTCCTGTAAAAACGTCAGTCGGTTTGTTTACATGTCATTTGTACAACACTAATTTAGCTGAAATATCACTAAATAATTATTAAAATCTATACATATTCAAACATTTCGTTGTTTACTTCCATTTTCTTACAAATATAAGGTACTTTGCTTTCACCGCTGTTTGTTTTTGCTTGCACTTGCAAATCAGCTGATCGTTTGACACTTTTCATGAACTTACAGGAAAAGAAACTCCGGACTAAATCCTGTAACTTCTGACTAGGAACAGTTGCTCAGTTACTCTCTCAAATGTGTTCCCACTTACAGGTTTTATGTCAATAGGAACGACTTCCTGTAAGTTCTGACTAAATCCTGTAAACCGGACTGCTATTGGAACAGACTAAATTAAAGTTATCGTAATCAAGAAAATGTTAATTGCGATTTATTTAGAATATTTCAACAACTCCAAAAAAATATTTAAGCGAATTCCCAACTTAAAACCATTTTGGTGTATAAAAATCCACATTTGATCTAAGCAAAATTAATTTCTCGATAACCGTAAACGCAATCACGAATTGCAAGATTGCGATTACTTTAATTGTTATCCTAAAAATTTCACGATTACGACTACTGTAATCGTATTCATAATTTCTACGATTACAATTACAGTAATTGTAATCACAAAATTTTTGGCATTCCGATTACTGTAATCGTAATAACAAAAAGCACGATTAGATACGATTACAGTTGTCGTAATCATAAAATTTTAAGGATTTCAATTAAAGTATTCGCAATCAAGCATGTTATAATTACAATTACAGTAATCGTAATCCTAAGTAATCGAAATGTAGTCGTAATCAAAGTGCCCAGCTCTGATAATAATAACAATAATAATTGATTGCCTTGACATGCCTTTGGAGGTGCATCGACTCCGATTTGCGGCGTGCGCCTTGACGTTGTCACACAAAGGGGAGGGATCTACAGTTTTACGCTGACACCTAACGGCGATTATATTTTCATGAGTGGCGACCGCTATTAGAAGAAAACTTTTTTGTTTTATTTTTTGATGCTGGTCGGTAACGGGGCTTGAACACAGGCCCTGCGGAATTGGTAGCGCGCACTGCTAACCACTACACCACATCGGCCGCCACAGGTATGTTTTATTAAAACCAGTGTTTATTTTGTAAGACCCTACATAATATATTCACTCATTTTTTTTCTTTTCAATAAAAGCACTATTGTTCACGAATTCCATGGGATTAAGAGTAATTATTATGGTAGGGGTCATGAAATAAATAATACATATTATATGATTCGCATTGGGAACGGAAACTGATTTTTCTTTGTGAGGCGATCTAATGTACATATATATATATACTACTATATAGATATGTCTGTACAGCAAAACCCGCTTAAATACCTCATAAAAAATGTCAGCTTTTTGAGGTACTCAGGCTTAGGAACATAATCACAGATGTACATACATAGTTACATCTTTATTTTAACTTACATAAATACTTGAATAACAACATTTAATGAAGTATACATAGTTTAAAACCAAAATGCTACGATTATTAAAGCAAATAAATAAGTAAAGAAAAACTTTGTTAAAAAAAATATATAGTGCAATGGTATGTCATTTTTACAAGAATTATATTGTTTAAAAAGTCAAAGTTGGGCATATCATTTTGTACCAAATTCAAAATGATATTGGTTGCCACTTACGTTTATTTAATAATTTTTAAGATTTTTCAATCAATTAAAATGCAGTCCATTCTCTAACAAATACCATATAAACATAAGCTTAAGATTTTGTAGAACAATTAAAAAAAAATCATCATAATTTTAAACTTTTTCTCAGAAGTGTTTTTTGAGTACACGGTTTTATAGCCCATTCAATTTTAGTGTAATAATGTGCCAGTTTCAAGTGGCTAAAAATTATCGTTGATTATTTAGAATTTTTTTCACCGAAGGTGCTGCTACTGAATTTCAAAATACTTAAATATTTTAAGGAATTTTAAAAGACCATTTAAAAGGGGAAAATTATAAGTAAAATTGTAATTGGGGCACCAAAAATTTAGGTACTTAGGCAGGCTGGGTCAATAAGCGAGGAGGTACTTAAGAGAGGGATTTTCTTCAGATTATATTAAGAAATATTGGTTACTTAAGCGGGTTTCACTGTACATAAATAGGTGGATGTTTGCTGACTTTTAGTACCATTTTATGTACATGTGTTTGTATGTTCATCCCAACCTATTTTCAACCCAATGCTTAGTAGTATAAACTGCATTGCCATCAAACGGTATACAAGGGCAAATATTGTTTCGTGTCATCTACCGCGTTACGAGTACGCGTACTACAAGTACTTTATATTTGCATTTGCCCGTTATATTTAAGTGCTTATGTGAATACAAA